CACCTCAGCCTCCCAAAGGCGCGGGATTACAGGCTGAGCCACCGAGCCCGGCCTAATAAAATAATTTTTAAAATGTTTTTTTCTCTTCAAAATTCACTTAAAAAGAAAATTAAGTTGCATTCATGTAGTCTGTTAGGATAAAATATTTTTAAGAGGCAAGGTAGGCTCAGTGGCTCGGCCTGTAATCCTAGCACTTTGGGAGGCAAAGGCGAGTGGATTGCCTGAGCCCATGGGTTCCAGGCCAGCCCGGGCATCTTGGCAAGATCTGTTCTCTACAATAAATAAAAAATTAGCCAGGTGTGGTAGTGTACCCCTGTATTTCTGGCTACTTGGAGGGCTGAGGTGGATCACCAGAGCCCAGCAGATCAACGCTGGGGTGGCCGTGAGCATGCCACTGCACTCCAGCCTGTGCAACAGAGTGAGACTCCAACTCAAAAAAAAAAAAGGGGGGGACAAGGTCTGACTGTCACCCAGGCTGGAGTGCAGTGTCATGGATCATGGCTCTCTGCAGCTCTAACACTTAGGATCAAGTGGTCCTCCCACTTTGCCCTCCCAAGTGCTTGGATTACAGGTATGAGCCACTGTGCCGTGCCTGAATACTCCTTAAAGTGTATCCTTGGATGCATCAGTTGGCCTTGGCATATCTGGATGCTGGTCAGAAATACAAAATCAGAGACCCCTCCTGCCAGCCCTACAGATTCAAAGTGTGTTTGCACAAGATCCTCCAAGGAGTTCAGGGGCACAATAAGTTTCAGAAAAACCACTTCAAGCCTACCTTTCTTCCTTATAAATAGATGTACATATATTCAATTTTATTTTAGGGTCAAATAAGGAAGTGCATTTAATTTTCTCACTGCCAGATCAAGACTGGCTCTTAAGATGTTCAGGGATTTTCGTAATAATTTGAAAGGGTAGCACAAATTCATACTGTGTAAGGTTTCCAAACTGAAATTAACTTATGATCAAGACAGCCCAAAAAGTTCAAGCAATTAAATAGAAATTTCTTATTTGTGTCTTTACAGACACTAGAATATGCCAGTTCAACATATCCAATTCTTTTTTGTAATTCTAAAAGAACAAGAAACTCTGAAAATCTAAAGGTTTTCATGAAGCCTGGAAACAAAATCTGACATTAAACGATTAATTTAAGTCTTGACTAACTGTGACAATTCCAACTCTGCAGCATAAAGAAACTTTAACCTATGAACAGGACACAGACCTATTCATATGTAACTGTGTTATGCAGTTATATGGTGGACACCAGCTAAGTGATGTCTCTCATTTTTAGAGGGGTCCTTTGAGATCAGTATAGCTGAAAGAGCAGAAGAAGGCCACAAGAGAAATAAAATCTATCTGAATAGACCTTCATCTAATAGTAGCTACATAAAAACAACCTAGTATGATGCCTGAAAATCAGTAACTGTGCAATGTGTGAAGGAATGATAAACGCATAAAAAATTGCTGGAACAAGTCTTCAGCTGGGGTGGATCTGAGAAAAGTCTAATATATTAACATGTAAATTGCAAGCAGCATCTTGCTGAAATTTTCCCTTCAGAAACCAGAACTTAAAACACAACAATAAAAAGAGGCATTTCCATAGATATATAGTAGATTCATCCTAAATAGGGTAATGGCTTCTTTGACCTTCAGACACCAACAGTCCTAAAAAGTCAAGTCCTTAAAAAATTCTGGCCATATTTTCAAGTTACGTTTTCTAGAATGCTCCACACAATTACAACATGATGCCATTTATATACAAGACTCTCAAAGAATGAGTCTCCAAGATCAAATATATACATTTTTAATATTTGAAATAATTACATAATGGAACCACGTCATGGTTCAAAGTTAAGAACAGTGTTTTCAAATGTCCTCTCAAGGTGTAAAGAAATCTAATAACTCAAAGCTCACAGTTATGCTTTGCTAACAGGCTAATTTTTACATTTCTTGTAAATAAATACTCAGGAATGGGAACTGTTACATGTAATTGGTGTTAAAAACTGCTTAAGACTTGTTAAACTTTCAAGTAATGTTGCTCCCTGGTGGCCTTCTCATCTACAACAAAGCCAGCCCAGTATGTCACTGAGCACACCATCAGCATATCTTTAAACTGTGATGAGCAATGGTAAAGCAAGATATAAACCCTTTCAGAACAAAAATAAAGACAAAAACTCAGTGCTGCCAACTGTCTTCAGTGACCTGCCTTTATCCTTAGGAATAAGATACAAACTTTATATATCACCAAGCTAAGTTCCTACTGTGTTTGTAAAACTCTGAGTCTGTAAACTCATGTAATTTTATCATTTTTAAGGGGCTTTCATTTATGGTTTTGGAATGAGAATTTTTTTAAACAATAAAGGATACACCAAAATTAAACTAAGGACCAATTAGTGCAAAAATGCATTCACTAAAGCTCTCCGGGATGTTACAATCTGCCTCATTTCTGAGCAATAAAATCAGGAGAAAAATCACTAGGATCCACATTCCTTTCAAAAGAGAAGAGGAAACAGTCAGCTATTAACAGGGAAATCCCAACCTATAGCAGACTGCTGCTCACCACAGACAATACCATGCTCTGGGAAACTAACAACCAAATTATACCAGACATCTGGGTTGGCACAATATCATTTTTCTTCTACAATTCTATCACTTAACCAGGAAACATTTGAAGGACCCACCAAAGCAAATTAGGGAAAAGACTTACACTCACACAAACACATTCACACATAAGATACAGTAGGAATGGATTGTCTGCTAATTTCTGCATTCTAATTTTTTTTTTTTTTTTTTGAGTAGAAGTCTCACTCTTATCTCCCAGGCTGGAGGGCAGTGGCACACTCACGGCCACCACAGCCTCAACCTGCTGGGCTCAGGTGATCCTTCAGCCTCAGCCTTCCAAGTAGCTGGAACAACAGGTGTGCACCACTACACCCAGCTAATATTTTGATTTATTGTAGAGATGAGGTCTGGCCAAGTTCTCCAGGCTGGTCTTGACCCCCTGGACTCAGGCAATCCTCTCATCTCTGCCTCCCAAAGTGCTGAGATTACAGGCGTGAGCCACCACGCCCGGCTCACATTCTAATTTTAAATTCAACGTGTTCATGAGGATTTGCCATTTCTGATCAAAGGAGAGTGGGATAGGAATGGTATTCTTTGAATTAAAATCATTCGTGTTGGTTTCTATACAGTACAGTTCAATATTAAGTGCAATTCTGCAAAAGAATTGGGGAGTCATTTTAATATTTACAAAGAACAAATCAGCAGAACAAGATTATATCAGATAGGCTGTGTACAGTAGCTGCGGCTTATAAAACATACCAGTAATTTGTACCTGGTGAGTATAAAGAGGATAGAGGACTCAGATGACTTTACAACCAGGGGAGTACACAGGGCATCAGCAAATTAAAGGACAAAAAAAATTCACATTTTCTACATTTAAAAAAATTACAGATCTCACAAATGTCTTTGAAGACAAAGAAAAATCCAAAGTCCTTTAAAGGGTGGGAAAGAAGAAGAAATCCGAATGAACTCCAAATGTAAAAAGAGTTTTACTTCACAAGACCAATTTTCTTGGCTTCTGTTTCATATATCAATAATCTCCACATTTTGACTATAAACACTTCTGCTTCTTCATCAAGTACCTAGAAGAGGAAAAAAAAAAAAAACCCAGTCACACACGTAAGATAAGCAATCTTAAACATCTCCCAATAATACTGACCAGTGTAAAAAAGGCTTTTATCTACTGATAAGCCTTTACTTTCAATGACTTAAAGAAAGTATCTCTAGTGTGAGAAATGTATTAAATAGTACATGTAAATAATAATTTTAAAAATTCAACAAACTTTCATGTCTTACTAAACATTACATTTTTTTTTTTTGAGTTGGAGTCTCACTCCAAAGCCCCCAGGCTGGGGTGCAGTGGCATGCATGCTCAAGGCCATCCCAGGGTCAACCTGCTGGGCTCAGGTGATCCTTCCACCTCAGACTTCCAAGTAGCCAGAATTACAGGCACACACTACAACACCCGGCCAATTTTTTGATTTATTGTAGAGATGAGGTCTCGCCAAGTTGCCCAGGCTGCTCTTGAATACATGGGCTCAAGTCCATCACCTTGGCCTCCCAAAGTGCTGGGATTACAGGTTTGAGCCACTGCGCCTGGCCAACACTACATTTTCACTACATTTTTTTGATCCAACTTTTAATTCTGACTATATTTTAACTTTACAGATAATACCTTTGTATATATCAGGCAAAATCATTTCCTAGGGAAAGCAAATGCTTGTCAAAGAGAACATAATAATTGAGGGCTGGAGACAGTGTCTCACGCCTATAATCCCAACACTTTGGGAGGCCAAGGCAGGATTTGCTTGAGCCCTGGAGTTCGACACCTGCCTGGGCAACACAGCAAGACCTCATCTCTGCAAAAAATTAGCTGGGCATGGTGGTCCATGCCTGCAATTCTGGTTATTCCAGAGGCTGAGGTGGGAGGTTCACAGGAACCCAGGAGGTCAAAGCTGTGGTGGGAGCTATGGCCATACCATGACACTCCAGCCTGAGAGACAAAGTGAGACCCCAATTGAAAAAGAAAACAAAAACACTATGCAAACTGGGTTGAACCAACCATCCTTTAAACACTGCACCTGCCTGGCCAACCACTTAGATTAACTTTCTGTACTCTGACCATAACTCCATGGTTTTATTACAAAGGTAACTGCTGGGAAAAATTCCCAAACTGCCCACAACACCTTCAGAGCCTCCCTGCCCTGCCTCCATGATCCTTTCTAATACCGATCACAGCAAGCACATTATGGTTTCAACATCTGTATGTCTATGTCTCCACAGTTCTGTTTTATGCTTATGCTTCTAGCACACTGAGGGAGCGGGCTGGGGACAGGAGTTAAAAATGAAATTGGTGTAGGTAGTAGACAGCAGACATTCTTGCTGCTATCCTGCCCATTGTGCCCTTCATAATGTATCTTCTCTTTAATAAATTTATCTTTTTTAGCTTAAAAAAAGTGAAATTGGTGTAGAAGAAATAAACGCTAGTTTTTAGATACTAGGTAATGATTCTTCCTATGGGTACCTTGAACTTCCTTTAATACATATTCAGATTTCAATACAGGTTTATAAAAAATTCTGGAACCAACAAAGATAGAAAATGAATCAAATTTAGAAGTTATTTCAAATAAATAGTAACTAAAACATTAATAACAGTGAATTCTGACCAGGACATGGTGGCTAATGCCTATAATCCCAGCACTTTGGAGGCCAAAAAGGGAGGATTACTTGAGGCCAGGAGCTCGAGACCATTTGGGGCAATTTAGTGAGACCCTATTTCTAAAATAACAAAAATTTAAAAATAAAATAAACAGTGAATTTCTAACTTACCATGGCAACATCATCTAAAATGCTCTGAGGTGAACTATGAGCCATAACCTAAAAGAAACAAATTAATCGTCATATTAAAAAAAAAAAAAAAATCAGCAATATAGTCAAGAAATTTTAAAGTACAAACCCTCAAACAGGTTTGAAAATTTCTTTTAACTGAGAAAACATTCTACCAACTTTTAAATTCTCACTGACTCTCTTCAAAGAAAGTTTGAGGCTAAAACGTGAGATTATAATCACTTTAGTGGTCGGTAGTCTATTTGTAAGCCAAATCTTAATTATACAAGTTTAAATGCTACAATAATTACAAGTTGGAGAGGACAGCCTAAATTTGTTATTCATAATATTAAAAGAGCAGTACTGTTGGAAAAATGGACAGTTACAACTTTATAGGAATATGGTGCACCAATGTTAACTATCTTTTTAAAGCTAACACCATGCTTTCAGGAGACAATGGAAGGACTTGATACACCTTAGTGGTTAGCAGCATTGGTTTTAGAGGCTAGTTATTATATGACCATGACAAAGACACAGTCGTTGCCTATATCTCAATTTCTCCATATGTAAAATGGGTATAACATTAGTGATGTCCACTTCCTAAGGTTATTAGCAGATCTGCAGAAGATAAAGTTTTATAAAATGTTAACATAGTAGCTGCCAAGAACATAGCGTGGCATGTAGTGATCAAACAATTAACACTGACTATTATTCTGATAATGAAATAATGTGCTCCTGTTCCAAAGGATGGGGACTGAATACAACAGTTGATGAAACACGCTGCTGGCTATCTCCATTAACCACAACACCACTCATCTCTGTTCCTGTTCCAAAGGATGGGGACTGATACAACAGTTGATGAAATAAGCTGCTGGCTATCTCCATAAACCTCACCACCACTCATTTAGGCAAGTCAAGAGTACGGCAGCATGTTCTCATGGGCAGGAAGAGACAGTATAATTGTGGTAGCCAATAATGCTGCCCTCCTAGATCCTCTGAGATGAAAACGTGTGGTGTGAGGGGTCTGAAGTGGGGTGGAAGGGCTCATTTTAGCAACCATAGTTAACATGGTTGAAACTAAACTATCGTCCACTTGGCACTATAAGATGTTTGCTCTGTATTTTAGAAAGGGTCAAATATTTTAAAATATAAAATAAATATTGGAAGTGAAGACAGTAAGACTAACCTTAGAACAAACAAAATCAACTAATGTAGCTTCTTCTTCACCTATATATTCTATGATTTTCTTATTAATCCATGGTCTAATTCGTCGTTCCATTAGTATCTGGAAAAAAGTATGGTTACTGAATTAAAAAACTGTAACTTTTTATGACATTTACTAAAGTCTCATGGTTTTTCTTACATGAAAATATAAGCCGGGCACAGTGGCTCACACCTATTAATTCAGCACTTTGGGAGGCTGAAGTGAGAGGAATTGCCTATGCCCAGGGGTTCGAGACCAGCCTGGGCAACTTGGCAAGACCTTGTCTTTACAATAAATAAAAAAAAAAGCCAGGCATGGTGGTGCATGCCTGTAGTTCCAAATACTTGGAAGGCTGAGGCAGAAGGATTGCCTGAGTCCAGCAGGTCAAGGCTGCGGTGGCCATTAGCATGCCACTGCACTCCAGCCTGGGAGACACAGTGAGACTCCCACTCAAAAAAGAAAGAAAAGAAAAGAAAATACGGGGCTCACATCATCAACAAGGGTACCTGCATAATAAACATTTGTGTACCTAACCCTGAATTGTACCCGTCTTCAAAATAAAAAAATTTTTTAAAGAAAATATAATATATTCATTCACAAGTTGAACTTAAGCAGGCATATATCAACATACAGTCATTTCCTTCTAATCTATAAGACGTCAAGTACCACTGAAAATTTTCCCAGTAACATTTATTGGCATCGTACTAACTCGATGTCAGGATGATCATCCCTATTTTTCATAAATAGAAAAAATAAGTTTATATAGCACATTCCAAACCATTCCCAATAACATAATGAAATATAATTTGCTACTCACAGAATCCACAATAGACCAGTCCAGGGGATATGCAAAGAGCTCGGGTTTGGCTGTAGGGATCTTCTCAATGAGACTCTTAATGTGTTTGCGCTTTTCTTCAGTGTTTACAGTGCCTTTGGCAGCATTTTTATCATCTTCACCATAATCCAACGGAACCAATTTCCTTTTTCGGGGTACATCGTCACTGTCTTCATCCTCAAATTTGTTAAAGACACTATCTACAGGTAGTTTCTTTCTCTTCACAGAATTAGGCTGACCAGGACTATTGGAAGCACCTATAGTAAAAACATTCTCTTAGCAGAATGACTTAATTTTCAAATGTTTCATTTTACAACCCCCCATCCCACAAAAGCAGTGCAAAATATACTCCACGAACCTCAGGAAGATCCCAACTGGAAAAAAAAACTCACTACTCACAAGTGCTAGAAAATTTAACTTTTCACTTCTTCTCAGAACTCGAGGCAGCTGCAGATATAGGAGCACTAGTAGAACTATGAAAACAATCATGAGCTACAAAGACATTTTTTGGTAATTTTCTAATCTACCTACCAAGCAACATATCTGTATGGTTTTTTCCCCCTTAAAGCACAATGTAGTTATTTGCAGGGGGAGAGACGGAGAAAAGGAAGAAGGAAGTGCTAACATACCCAGTTTAAGACTCAGTCCTATTTTTGGCCTATGCTCCTCAGGCTGCTGTTGATCAGGTGAGTTTTCATGAGGAATAATAATACCGCAGGGAGACTCCTCTCCAGGAGTGTTGGGGGTGGCATTGCCACTGGCAGAGGACACAGAAGGGGCAGAGCTAATGGGCCTCATGGTAGGCTTGAGACAAGGCTTCTGCTCTGGCTCTTCTTCCTCTTCCATGGGCTCTTCTCGCTTTTCTTCTTTTTCTTGCTTTTCTTCTTCCTCCTCTTCTGATTCTGGCTCTTGCTTTATCTGGGGCTGTCTGCGCCGCTCAGCCTCTTGTTCCATCTAAAACCAAGACAGTAATCTGATGAACATGGAAGTGACTGCAACTGTATTTGATTCAACTTAGCTTTTGTTTTACATTATCTGTTGTAAAATACCATTTTTCTTTTTTATTATAAACACCTGAACACTGCTTCCTTCTATAATCAGAAAGCTGAGTACATGTACAGAGTATACTAGGGGCTCTGCAATTTGTATTTTTAAAATATTTTTGATATTACATTCTCCAGTGGCTTATATAAGTTCTTCAGGGATAATAAAGATAAATACATAGTACACTTCTGGATTCAGAAAGAAACAGTTGTTTTCGTATTTTTATGGGTTTTTTTACTCTTAACATCACTCAATGTAATTTTTGTGTTTTTAGTAAAGAAATTATAACAAAAAGTTTTTTAATTAGCATACTACAGACAATACATAAAAGACAACTCAAATTCTCAGCATGGTCACACACAATCATCTGTTCTTTTTTAGGTAATAGTTGTTTTGTATTCATAAACAATAAGAAATGGAACGGGGGCCAGGCTCGGTGGCTCAGTCTGTAATCCCAGCACTTTGGGAGACCGAGGCAAGTGGACTGCCTGAGCCTGCGGGTTCAAAACCAGGCAGGGCAACTTGGTGAAACCTGTCTCTACAATAAATAAAAAACTAGGCAGGCGTGGTAGCGCACGCCTATAGTGGCTACTTGGAAGGCTGAGGCATAAGGATTGCTGGAGCCCAGCAGGTCCAGGCTGCGGTGGCTGGGAGCGGTCACTGAACTCCAGTCTGGGCGACAGAGTGAGACTCCAACTCAAAAAAAAAAAAAAAAAAGAAATGGAAAGGGAATTTTATAGTCAAAGGCCTACAGCAAAAAGCATTCCCCATGAAATGATAAAAGTAGTAACAAAAAAAGTTTAAAAAGCACTAAAAAATTAATAAATAGATCATTAATTTTCTGAGCATCAAATAAAAAACAAATATATCCTAAACTACATACAAATTCAAAAATTTGTACATAGTATGAATCACTGTCTATCAACTCACCAATGAAAACAATGACAATGAAACAATTCAAAAGTCATCTGAACCCTATGGTGGTCAGAGAAATTAAAAAACATCCCCCCAACCAAATGCTACAATGCTACAGGACAAAAAAGACTGAAATATGCTATAATGGTGAAGGAATGGAGAAAAGATATAAGGGCAATAAACTGGTAAAATGTTGCACAGAAGATTGTACTGGCCAGGCATTGTGGCTCATGCCTGTAACCTTAGTACTGTCACCCCAGGTAGTCTGTAATCCCAGTGGCACAATCACAGCTCATTATAACCTCAAGCTCTTGGGTGTGAACAATCTTCCCCTCTCAGCCTCCTGAGTAAACAGGACTACAGATATGTGCCTCCACGCCTCACCAAAAACATTTTGCAGAGACAGGGCCCTGCTATATCGCCCAGGTTCGTTTCAAACTCCTGGCCCTCTCTTGCCTCAGCCTCTCAAAGCACTGGGATTAAAGATGCGAGCCACTGCACCCAGCCACTATCTGTATTCAAAATATTTAGGGTGACAGTAAGAGAAGGAACTAAAAACCACAGAAAGTCATAAGGCTGGGCAAATGGCTCATGCCTATAATCCCAATATTTTGGAATGCTGAGGCAGAAGTTTGAGACCAGCCTGGGCAACATAGCAAGTCCTCGTCTCTATAAAAATAAAATAGGCGCCGGGCTCGGTGGCTCAGCCTGTAATCCCGCGCCTTTGGGAGGCTGAGGTGAGTGAATTGCCTGAGCCCGCGGGTTTGAGACCCGCCTGGGCAGCGAGACCTTATCTCTACAATAAATAAAAAAAAAAAAAAATCAGCCGGGCATGGTGGCGCATGCCTGTAATTCCGGCTACTCGGAAGGCTGA